AGGGGGGGGGGGAATTCCAGGAGTAGTGAGTGAGCCAATTATTGTGCTTGGGACTAAGCAAGGGGGACGATGTGAGCAATTTGTGTTCTCCCTGGCGTTTCTCCCTTTCCTGGGCTTAGTCCTAGTGTCACCTACCATCGGCCTGTTTTGAATGTTCCCCTTAAAGACATGAACGCCGCGATCAGCAAAGCAGCAACTATTTCAGCAAAATTCAGTGTTTCTCATTTATTTGATGATAGTAGTGCCATTTCCTGAAGGTTCTGTCTCTGCTCTTTGCGCTGAAATCTCCTCACGACACCGCAGCTTTCAAATCTCAGCGCCCGGAAAGTTTTTTAAACCGCAGAATCGTGCGGAGTTTATCCGCAATCTGCACACGCTTTGACGTGTTGAATTCTATTGCAGAACCCGCGAAGCCTTGCCTCGTCGGATCGCCGCGCGTGCCGCCGCGCAACTCGCCGCGTGCCAGCCCGGACGAGCCAAAAGTCCCGCACCCCACCTGCCACCCCTTCTTTCATCTTTTATCGGCATTAACTTGTCAGATTGTTGCCTATGATGTACTTATCCATCTATACAACTAATAGTTCACTCAGTACTCAATTCAGGGCAGTGGCGGAAAATTGCCGAGATCTTACCACGACATAGTTCGACAGCCATTTACGAACGTTATCATTCATTGCTGTCTGCGAAAATGAGGGTACGTGAGTTATTGCTTTGGTGAAATGTTATGGCAGAATTTGGGGTTTACGAATCAGGCGAATAGACGAGTAGGCGAGAAGAAAAAGCATACTTGTCGACCAGGTGAATAAGCGAGTCGGCGATTATGCGATCGCCTAGTCGCCTGCTCACCCAATCGCCTGTGGGATCTTGGGTGTGGTTCGCTAGAACAGAAAGCGACTTTTTCGCGTTTTGCAGCGCGAAATTTTTCGCTGCAGGAACTCCAGGTCCACTCATGATCAGCGGTGGACCTGAGGTTCCCGCAGCGAAAATGTTTCGCGTGCGGAAAGCGAAAAAGCCGCTCTCTGTTTTAGTGAACCACACCCTGGGATCTACAAATCTGAGCAAGATGTGATGCGTGAATCGATCCCTTTGATAGCCTATTTCCAGCTTAGCGTTGGGTTTAAGGAAAAATTGGTCCGGATTCTCGTTTTCACACAACAGTAATCACCTTTTTGGCTGAGTTTAGCGTAAAGGGTTACTCCATCTGAAATACCATCTGATACCCTCGCCGGTTTCTGGGTATTAATGCGTCTACATCCTCGCCATATACGGCCGGTTTTTTGCTTATTTTTTCTCCGGTTTTGCGTTCCATTTGCAGTCGCGATAAAGCTCAATCGGAAAACTGCTTCTTTTCAGCTCTGCTCAGCAAGACTTATTGGTTATCCAACAGAGTATAGATCTGCGATTAATAGATCTGTGCATAAAGCCAGGCGAGATGTGGTAAGATCTTTTTATTTATTTATTTATTTATTAGAGCTATACTAGGTTTAGGAATGCACTCCAAGAACCAAGTTTGAGCATCCCCGTCGCCAGCATTCGTGAAAGACGTCCGTGGGCAATTCGAACGCGTAGCAGCCTTTTCGAGTTTTCGAATTTCTAATCAAAACGAAAGCAATACTTCAGTTCTTTTCACTATTATCGTGGATAATGAGTCTCAAGCCAGTGATTTATGGCTGAAATAGAATCATGATTTTTCCGCGCAAGATTCCTTTAAGCAAAGTGTTCCTTCCGCAGCATTGTCCTGTCCCGGTCTTGATCTTGCACCACAGAGCATACGCATACTTTCGCTCTTTGGCTTACCCTCATTCTTATACGGCCCTACTTTTATATAAGACAGTGATAACCCGTTATTCTGAAGCATTATTGCGAAAGCATAGCTGGGATAGCTTATGCGCGACGGATTACTGACCTATTCAGTTCGTATAACAGGAGGAAAAGAGTAAAGCTGGCTGAGCGCATTAGTTTAAGTGACCGTCTTGAAGCGTAGAGAAATTAGCATTTGGAGTGGCTATTCGAATCGAGTTTTTACACCTTCCTTCGGTAGCAAATTACTTGCAACGGTCTGTTTGGGGTCTTATATAAAATAAGAAAATGTTCTGTGTTCAGTTCAAAGGGACACGCTCCGCGGCCACGCTTCGTTATAAGTGGTTAAATGAACAGTGCCCCCGATGGAACAGCGGTCCATGGACAAAGGAGGAACTGGGAAAGCTAAAGGAGCTCAGAGAAGATGTGAGTTTCATATGATGTATCTTGGATTTATATACTAGGCTGCTCTTTAAAGGTATCACATGGTGTTTAAGAGTCTTATAATGGGCTGTTTCCCTATGAATAACAGCACGCATAAAGACCAATTATTTAATTTTTGTTTCCTTGACGGTCGAAATGAAGGTAAAAGGTCTAAGTGATGCAGCAGTGAGCAAGAATCCAAGAAAATTGGTGAAAAACCTGCGAAAGGACTACTTTCGGCTCTCTCACTGAACGCGATTCTGCGTTGGGTAGTGCTGTAGAGGGTGAACGCCTCCCCGAAGCGAGTGCAGGTCCAAGAAAGGAGCAGGAACAACGGTAAAGGGCTTTGCGATTGCGGAGCCTGGAGGGCGGTGCAGAAACAAAGGGTAGCGGAATGCGTCGAGCCCGGTCCATTAGGTCTCTCAGAGAAACGACCGCTTTCGCGTGAAAACACAGCGACATATGTATCATTTGTTCAGCTTTAGTTGCACTCTTTTTATAATGGGCACTTTACACCTCCTTGAACGCCTACTAGCACCTATTAGTATTTACTGCTTTTGCTTTGGTAACAAAAATGAAAGGGAAAATTAGTTATATTATCAGTGTTATGCAGAAAATACAGAGCTCATGACGTAGTAATTTAGTAGGAACGGTGCGCTTAAAAAATTTCACGGAACTCATCTTCAGCCATCATTCACATCATGGGCTGTTGTTGCCAAGAAATTACAAACACAGCGATCTCCTTATCAATGTTTCGAAAGGTACAGAAGCGACATGTATCGAGCGGCAAAGTGAGTATGGTATCAATTTTTGTCGCTATGAAATTATGTTGGTGCCTGGAAGAAGGGCAATTCTGTTTAGGGATTGGACCAAGGAAGAAGATGACCGTCTCATTGCTTTGGTGAAAAGTGATGACCGTCAATGGAGTAGTTCAGTGGGACAAAGGTTGGATAAACACGAATGACTAACTATGTAAAAAAATCTGTTTGAAACGGTATGCCTGTCAATTCAGTGACCTTTTATATGCCTGGACGCCACCGTCAGCAAGTTCGGACGAGATATCTGCGCACATTGGATGAGAATGTCCGTCACGGACGTTGGACAGATCACGAAGATCTGGTTGGTTGAGTGAAGCCTTCTAAAAATTTCAATAGTCGATCTCGACAAAGGCTAAGATAATCCCCTTATATTTGCATTTCACCTCTTCTCTCTTTCCTATTATTTGTATTTCCTGACGCTTTTGTTGTTCCTGGAGTTGAAATTCGCCATTCAAAATAGTTCACGTCTTCGTTCTCGAAAGATTTGGTGACTGTAGCTGAAGAAAAACTCGCGTTGGGAAGCCCACATAAGGTGCTTGGATATGTGCCAACTCGTGGGATCCGGATTTCGTGGGTTCCACCCATATGCTGAACGTGGAGATCGCGTGATTGGCTGAGTGCTCCTTGCGTAATTGCATATAAACCGTAGCCGCGTTGGAAGAAATCCTGCCTGGTTTTCGATTGTTATAGTCCTTTGATCGTCTTTTTATTGATTACTGTTTTGTATTTGGTGCATATGCATATTGAGCAGTGACGGTAGAGCAAACTAGGTTCGGAAGCGCTCCGACCAACATTCCTTTCTTGTTGGATTGGAGGGGGGGGGAGGAGAGTCTTCGTTGAAGGCCTGCTCCGCTCTCACCCCACCTAATCGATCTGGGCATGTTGCTGTAAAGGGGATGCCATGTACAGCTCAGGAATTGATCTCACATCTACTTTACAGATCTCCGCAGGATTCTCCTAACAGACTTTCTCTTGACTTCTATCATTTTTATTTTTCCAGTTGCTTATGGCAGCTGTCGCTCGTTTTGGTGCTAAAGACTGGGCGAAGATAGCAAAAGCTGTAGTGGGGCGATCAGATGGACATGTAGGAACGGTCAGCTTGGAGAAGATGTTTCGTCCCCTATCATCCTAGGAACAAAGGTCGCCATGTAGGTGGCTGTAACCGTGCATGGAACAAATGACTTTTTTCTGAATGATTGGACAGCTGAAGAGGATGAACGCCTTGTGCTAGGCGTCCAAGTCTTTGGAAGAGGTATCTTGGAAACCTATAATTAATTTCGTTGTTGTGCGCTTACGTTCATAGCCTGTTCTATAATGCAAGGCAGAAAAACTTTAAAAAACTGTACTAAAACTGAGACATTAGCCAAGGTTGTGTGTCATATTCCTAACCTCCTCATCGGCCGATGTCATACTTTGCGAATTCAGCGATACGCTAGCAAATCGGAGGATACGAGCATTGTACACCACGACGTCGGCTGCCCCATCAGCGATCGAACATGGCCCAGCGGACTGAACATGTACCAGCGTATCGAGCGATGTACCAGCGACTCAACACTGTTGGAAGTGGCGGGGCTCCCCTCTCCGTTGGCATGTTGACTCTCACCACTTTCCCGAGCCACTACCCTCGTCATTTCCTCATGGGGGCGCCCTCGTTGCTCGGGAAAGTGGCGAGATCAACTAATCGACAGAGGGCCCGCCCTTTCAATAGAGTTGCGAGTTGCTGATGCATCGTCGATCGCTGGGTACACAGACTCGATTCTCTGTCAACGCTTCTACGGATCCGCGATTCAGCTAGCGAGCGCTGGATTCGCAAATATGACCGCTTCGGCCATCAACCTCAACTTGAATGTTCGCGCGGACGAAGTTGCCTTAACCCATTGCGGACCGCGTGCTGCACCATGTGCAGCACGCCACCACGCGGAGAAGGATAGTAATCTTCGATTTTTTCAGCATTTTGCTAAGTTACAAAATCAACAGTTTACTTTTTCGGACACAGGATATATCACTTATTTGCGTACTGGTTAAATTTTTGATAGATTATTGGCCACTGATAAAAGAGATGACAAAAACCTACGGAGGTGCAATTATAACGGCGGTCCGCAATGGGTTAACATTCTGACAGCACTGATGTATTTTCACATTCCACCGCGGATGGGATTCCTTCTGCTCAATCTATCTGGCATTTTCGATGGATACAATGTAAATGTGGGGAGCAAGCTGTTTCATTAAGCGTTTATATACTAACGCGGCGCGGTTTACAAATAAATGGTGGCCCAAACTGGAACGAGCCGCAGTGAAGTTTTTCTATACTTTTTTCTAGTCTATAGGGTTGCACTAATTTGGCAAAAGTGCTAAGATGGAACCTTAATTTGGCCCAATATGAATTCATTGACACACCAACTCATTGATTATTCCTCTGGTAAAGCAAGTGTTTTCAGTTAGGATTGTTTATGAGAGGGGGAATCAGGAGAGAAAAAGAAAATAGATGGATGTTGCGAGAAAGAAGGGCGTGGAAAGGGTACCAAAGGTAATAAGGCGCCGAAGGTAGTCCAAACAGCCCTTCACGCCATCAAACATGCCCACCGCTTTATATACAGTAGTGGCCAGAAATTTATGAACAAACGGTTTTTTCATGATTTCTCTTTTGAAAGTCACTGGAACGTCTCCAAATTTGCAACAATTATTAACTACGTGTTTTATGATCCACACAGAAAATTTCAACCTTCAGCTCAAATTTGGGTTTAGAAAATTTTAGATTTTTCGAAATTAATGAAGGCAGGTGAAAGATCACTTGATCCGTTTATTTGATTTAAATAATGTATAACCCAACAGAACAGTCAAGTAAACAGTCACTAACATTAAGCACATTGGCGACCAAGCAGTTTTTGGATGTTCTCGAAAAATGTGTCCGGGAGTGCTGAAAAACGTATTGCCATTGGCTGTACATACTAAACGTCTAATGAGAATACAATGCGGAAACTGCTGAAACATCATTTGTCTCGTACAAATGCTTAATGGCTGCAAACCAAGCAAAAATCTCCCCGTCCCGCAAAGGTGAAACTTCGGAACGCTCTCGGAAAATTCCAATTTTCCACTGTAGAATCCACAAATGAGGTTGAACACAAATCTCTTTTTTTTTTGCCAATTGTTGTATCATTGAGCTAGCTAATAGCATACAAAAAGGCAGCTTTCTACATCAAGAAAGAACAACCTTATCACTGAAGAAGCAATTCCAAGCAACCCCTTCTGTAAAACTTTCACTGTGAAAGATGTTCAAAGAACGTGGCCATTACAAGTTTGACAACGTATTCCGGGTTAATATAGCACCGCTCAAAATTTGGAATATGCGCAAAGGAATAAAATTCAAGGGGTGTCGCCCGGCATCGGGCGACATTGTCGCCAATGTGTTAAGCAAAGTCTAGCACATTGCCCAGAACTCTCTAAAGTATTGGATACATAAACTGGATTTGAATGCGGGGTCAACTAATGAACTCACTCTCTAGTGGGGTCTCTCTCTGTAGTCCCGTCTTTTCGTGGCTCTTTCATTGACATACGAATTTGTAGGTCCTCCCCTAGTGGTTCTGTGAATGTTTGGCTCAAGAGTCTGGCCTGGCTGGTCTTTTAAAAGCACCCCATGCTGTCGAAACCACTCCTGCATGTGAGAGGCCTGATGCTTTGAGTCGCTGCTCTGCCGACAGGCAAAGTCAGGTCGGGCGGCAGCCACGCCTAAGGATACATGACACCTTCCAAAACATGACAGCAAACGTCTGCCTTCATCGCTACCTCAGTCGTGTAGCGTGGTCCCACTTTTTTCCAAGGCAACCTTATCAAGCCTCCGCCAAGTTTCACAATTGGCAGCTGATTCTTTGGATCAAAACGTTCCCTCTCGTGGTGCCGTAATTACTAGTATCCTTGCTGTCATGCATCAGTAATATGTTTTTGTCATTCCAGATGACCTTAGAAACCTGTGTCAACCTTCTTTTCAGACTTAGTCAATCACATTCTACTCCCACCCACTTCACAGCGAGCGCTCTTCTTAGACTTTGAGAACTAAGGAATACGTAGTATAGACTTAGATTCTAGAAGATGTTATGTATCCGTAGACATGGCTGCCACACGACCTGGCTTTGTCTGTCAGCAGAGCAGCGACTCAAAGCATCGGGCCTCTCACATGCAGGAGTGGTTTCGACAGCATGGGGTGCTTTTAAAAGACCAGCCAGGCCAGACTCTTGAGCCAAACATTACAGAACCACTAGGGGAGGACCTACAAATTCGTATGTCAATGAAAGAGCCACGAAAGACGGGACTACAGAGAGAGACCCCACTAGAGAGTGAGTTCATTAGTTGACCCCGCATTCAAATCCAGTTTATGTATCCAATACTTTAGAGAGTTCTGGGCAATGTGCTAGACTTGCTTAATGTTAGTGACTGTTTACTTGACTGTTCTGTTGGGTTATACATTATTTAAATCAAATAAACGGATCAAGTGATCTTTCACCTGCCTTCATTAATTTCGAAAAATCTAAAATTTTCTAAACCCAAATTTGAGCTGAAGGTTGAAATTTTCTGTGTGGATCATAAAACACGTAGTTAATAATTGTTGCAAATTTGGAGACGTTGCAATGATTTTCAAAAGAGAAATCATGAAAAAAC